AACTCGCGTATACGTTACTCGCGCTGACAAACAATAAATAAAGTTGACCGCCAATCGGACAACCAAGCTAGCAATCGATAACGACCACTCTTTGATTAATTACACGGTCACACGCGATCCTTCTTGCGAATTAACTATTCGCTATTTTAGAATTTAGTTTTCCAATAATAGAAGATGGGTTGTTGGCAATTTCGTCATGTTCTTCGAAATATTTTTCTAATTTTTCTTCTTTTTTGTTATGCGATAATATTCGATATATAATAGAAATATAATTGTGAATTTATTTTTTTTTTAAAGCTACACGTGTTTAAAGTTAGTCTTAGTGAGCTTGTGGTTCGGGTTTTAGGTTACGTGATATTAATTCTTTGCAGACGAATGTCACTGTTAGAATTAAATTACGTTAAATTTAATTAATTTAATTCTGGTATACATTTGATAGTGAGAAAATTTTTATAAAATAGCAAATATCTTTGCTTATTATTATTATTATAATATATAAGTTTTTATATTATGTAAGAAAATATTCTCGACTTGTCGGGAATCGAAAGAGTGAAAATCGTTCGCAAAGGATTAAAGATTATATTTCGTCATCGTCGAAATATCTTCGAAATATTATCGAAAAATACAAAAAATATTTAGAAAAATATATATATCCTTGCTATATAATGTATGTGTAATTTCATTAAATCTCGATTCGAATCGAATTTTAAAAAATTAAATAAACAAAAAATTCCACTTCTCAGAAAAGAGATTTCACGCCTTAAAATGATTGTATTTCTGGTATTGGATCTACGTCGATAGCGGTGAGGAATATTTTTAGGAGATCGCGGTATGTGGCGTCGACGATTATACCACCGCTGTGAAGAACTATTCAAAGAAAAGATCTCTGAGCGTGGAAGGAGGAGGAGGGGGAGAAAGAGAAGAAGAAAATGGATTAGGGGTTGGTCAAAAGCGGGTTCGAGAAATCCCGCGGATTTTCGAGCTTTCTCTCTCTCTCTCCCCTTCCTTCCCTTTCCCACCCCTCTCTCTTTCTCCCAACTATCTTCCCAACTAGGGATCTTTGTACATCCCATGGGAAATCGGCCTAAACGGGGTTGACCAAAACAGGTTTTCAAAGATCAACGCGTTTCGAAGGAGAACTGTTTCGAATGACCGTGACAACGCAACGAAGCAATCGGTCATGATACGAGATATTCAAATGAGAATACAGTCCATTAAAAATAGATCTCTCGGCCGAGCGAAGGATGGAAAGATACATTTTTCAATACGTGATTTCCTCGTGACATTTCGAATTATTTTATAGCGCTGTGTGCAAACGAATGAATGAATCATTGAAAGATAAAAAATATATATATATATATATATATATTTCTCGGCAAGTGTAATAAAAATCTAGTGTAACATTCGTAATATCAGTACAAGCTGCTACACAACGTTTATCGGTCGCGAATGAGAGAGAGAGAGAGAGAGAGAGAGAGAGAGAGAGAGAGAGAATGGGGAGAAATCTGACTTGGTACGGTCCTGATCCGAAGTTATCCGAGCTCCGCGAGAGAGCCGATTATATTAAATGGCTGGTAAAATGGTCTGCTTAACATAGCGTTTATCTGCTCCTCTTGGTTTTAGTACTTTTTCACTGCCTCGTCAGCCATTGCCCATAAACTCTACTACAAGCCTTGCCTCTTTTTCCCTCTTCATCCCCTGTCGCTTACTCTCTGCTACCCCGTACAATTTTTCTCCCTGTACCTTCGGCCTGACCTACGCGTACATGCGCGCCCATGTGCCATGGGCGAGAACGCGCGTGTATACTTAGCACGACTCATAAAGAATATAGAACCATTAAAACGACTCATCCTCTTGAGTGTGCTCATCATACTTTGACGCCTTTTTTGTTTACATAAATCCTCTTTACGCTCCTCGACACCGTTTCACTTTCTATATCAGACATCGAAAGAGCTCTTTCATGAATGTAATTAAGGGTGGCCATTCAGGGCGAGCCCTGATGTTTTGTCAAATATTATATATATATTGTTCGTGTCCGCAGCAATTAGCGGGGATACAATTGCGTAAAGAGAACGGGACGTTTTTTTTTTTACACGTAGGATTCTCAGCAAAAAGAAAACATTCGTAAAAAATGCAAACGACCGATACGTAATCGATAATTACGACAACCTTGAATTTTTAATTAATACACGAGTGGAGCCTGTTTTCTTTCTCAATGAATAATAACGTCAACACGATCGAATGAATTTACTTCTCTAAATACTAAATTAAAAGATAACCAACTTTATGAATATTTTATCGATTATTTTATGCTTTTTCAACGTATAAAACGACCATCGTTTCGTAACCAAGGATAGCATGCCTCTTTTTTCTCAATTTTATCAAAGAAACGTACACAACGGGCACCGTACGTGGAATGTCGAACCCTCAACCAGCACAATACCACCCTCGCCGCGAGAACGAAGAAAACTAGCAAGGGAAAAACGAAAGAGAGAGGGGGAGGGGAGGGGAGAGAGGGAAGGGGGAGAGGAGAAAGGAGAGGAGAGAGGAAGAGAGGGAAGAGGAGAGAGGAAACGAGAGGGAGAGAAGAAGCGAGGGAGAGAGAGAGAGAGAGAGAGAGAGGGAATGTGTAGATGTACACATATACTTATAGAGGAACGACGTGAAAGAGGGTGGCTTAGCATGAGGGGCGTGGTGGCCCCACCACCCCCATCAAACGACCAGGCAGAACTACTTTTGGGGTAGCCGACCCACACACCTCTTTCTCTACCTCAATCCTCCCTCCTCCTCACTCCTTTCCCATCCCCC